AAACTATAGTGTATGCTCTTTAGTAGTAAGTTCACAGAATTTGATGTTGTATGTTTACTGTTGTTTTGGTTGAAAGTGCTGTTAATTTTTAATTGCTCTTGAATCATGCAGTGGCAGAAAGATAGTTTCTAAATTAGTAAAAAATAACATAGTTGGTACTCATTACTGTAACTGTAGATACATAACTTTTTAGAAGGAAAAGATGAATAGAAGTTAAGTATCAAATTGCTTGCTCTCTCCTTAGTCTCAGTTTTCCTTTTGCTAGATTATTTTTTTCCAGACTTAGAGATACCTAGTCTGAGCATTTTGTTGAATGCTTCCTGTCATTGGGGAAAAAACACCGACTTGGCTAAGTTCAGAGACTTGTTTTCCATCTCCAAATAATAATATCAGGCATAACAGATTGTTTAGTATTGACATCTGCAAATCCGGTTGGTTCTACCGTCAAACTATATCCAGAGTCCAACCATTTTCCATCACCAGGATTGTTACAATATCCTAACTCTTCTTGCTACTTCCTCCAACGCTGTCTCTCTACCTTATTCTCCAAAGAGCAGCCTTTAGATCATGTCACACCTCAACTCAAATCCCTTGAAAAGCTTCCTCTAGCTCTTAGAGTGAAAGCCAGGTCCTACAAGAGACCTACCACCCTCCCCATGCCCTTCTGACTATACCATCTAATGCGCTCCCCCAACCCCCAAACCATTCGTCCAGTCATTCTTGCTTCCTGGATATTCCTAGGAACACCAGGCAGAGACATTTCTCTGACATTTCTGTGACCTGTTCCTTCAGGTAGCTTGCTCCCTGGCCTTTTTCATTTGTTTCCCCGTGTGTCACTTTTCAGTAAGACCTTCTCTGGCCAGCCCTTTTAAAAATTGCACAGACACACCAGCACTCCCCATCACCCTTCTCATCTTTATTTTCTCCATAGTACTCAGCCACTTTCTAAAATACTATAAAATGTTTCTATTCGTTGTCGGTGCCCTTCATCAATGTAACTTCCATGAAGTCAGATTTTTCTTATGAATTATGTTCTGCACTTATATCTCCTTAACACATAGAATACTGCCTGGCATGTGGTAAGTCGTAAATATTTATTGAATGAATGAATCTGTAGTTAAAACATTAGCCAGTTCTTCCTGTATGTGACCTACTAAGATATGGCACAGTTATTGGGAAAGGTTTTGCCTAGTGGCTCACATTTAAATATGCTTAATTAAAGGGAGCAGGGGCCATAGGTTAGAGCAAGTTAAGGTCAGATCTAGGTTTGAATAATAGCTCCACTACTTACAACTTGTGTGACCTGCTGAGTTATATAATCTTCCAGCCTCAGTTTTCTCATCTGTAATATGGGGATAGTAAAAGTCGCTTTCTCATGGAATAATCATAACATTTTTTGAGCAAATGGGCAAAAATCATAATGTTGCATTTATAATAAAAACTCAGTAAATGTGTAAGATTATTATAATAAATAATATGATTTTTGTTAAGGTTTTTGGTAAAATATTTTATAAATGCTTACTCTTTTGACCACAAAATTTAGCTCAAGATATGCATTGTTTTGTTTATTTTTGTGTTTAATCTCAGATTGCTCAGCCTCTGAAGGTTAGGCCTTTCTCCTCAGACCACTGGCCTCTCACTTTGAACTTCAGCACCTTGTCCAGAGCTCTTAGAAACACATGGAGTATTTGAGGATTTGAAAGATGTGGTGTAGTTCAAGTGAGGGGCAAAGGTGTTAAGATTGGAGATGAGGCTTAAATGTTATATTCCATACCATATGATGTAGATTTTAACCTGTAGGCTCTGGGAAGATATCAAAGGTGTTAAACTTGAGAATAAGGTTTCCAGAAAGTATAAAATGACAGAATTTACATGGGTTGATTCACGTCACTGACCACAGTTCAGTCTTTAATATGACTATAAGCACATTAAGAATCATACATTTCAAATTAGGAAATTTCAGCATAAATTAAATCCATGTTAAATAGTTCATCTTAGGCAAAAGTCTCTTTTTTTTTTTAATCAAAGCACCATTACATTCCACATAGTGTCTAACGTGGTCTCTTAAAGATTATATTGCTTACCCATTTCAAATTAATTATTAGACAGGAGGATATTTTTGCCCATAATTGTATGCCATTGGAATTTAGAATAGCAAAATAACTGAGCACTGGCGTCAAAGGGTGATCAAACTGTTTTTGGTGTGGAAATGTCTTTAGCCCTTTCATATCTTTATTCTAATAGAAAAGAGTGACTGAGAGAATAAGTAATATGGTGATAGATGGCTGATGTTGGTTTTTCCAGGAATGGTGTTGAGAAATAATTAACTAAATGCTAAGAGAATACAGATAGTCTTTGCCTCATAGGGTTTGAGAAATGTATTCATTTCTTAACAAGATATGGAAAGTGTTAAACATTAAGAACAGATTTTGTTTCTAAGATCTTTCAGCCAATCGCTGACTCCTGGTTGGTTTTTTTTTTGTCGCTGACTAAAGATGCAGGAACAAAGAAGGTGATTTAAGAGACTTTCCATGGGGTTGGTTAAAAGTATGGAAAAACCTCTTACACAACTGAATATAATTCCTTATGGGGAAAAAAATTCAGTGAGGATTTTCATCCTCTGCTTATAGAAGTTAAAGTAAATTGTTCCCCCATAGAAAATGGTCCCTGGGAGGTTGTTCTTGTGTTTGGCTATTGGTGAAGTGGTGCAACTTTGACTGAAACTATTAGACATTGTTGATCATTTGAGGGCAAATAAAATCAAGTGAATCGGAATGTAATAGTAATGCAAATAAAGCTGGTGAAAACAAAGGAACAAAAATGCCAAAAAGCGCTATCTTTATATAGGGTTGTTTCTGCTAAATTAAGATAAATATGAATGTACATGCATATGAGAAAAATTAAAAGGAGGTCTCAGTAAGAGTATCTGAGTTACACTTTTTTTAAGGGAATGTTTCCAAAGCTAATCATTTAATCTAAAGTTCTGTCTAAAGTGAAGGTGAAGAAATTACTCTTTTGACATGGAATTCTGTCATAAATATGGCTTTAGTTTTCTCTCTGGCTGTTATAGGTAGATATGTTTTACCTCTTCAACCTTCTTATAAGCTATTTGAGGTTGTAGTTTATATCCTCTGTTCTTTTGTTCACATAATAGTACTCAACACAAATCTAGCTGAAAAGAAAACAGTATGAGTGGGGTGAAATAGGTGAAGGGGATAAAGAAGAACAAACTTTCATTCATAAAATAAGCCATAGGGATGAAAAGTACAGCATAGGGAATATAGTCAATAATATTGTAATAACTTTGTATGGGGACAGATGGTAACTACAGTAACCATGGTGAGCATTTCATTAGACATATAATTGTTGAATCACTATTTTGTATACCTGAAACAAATATAGTATTTTATGTTAAGTACAGTTCAAAAAAAAATCAAAAAAAGAACAAGGCTTTGAAAATAATCTACCTTTTATACTTATAGCTGAATTCTATAGAAGAAAATAAAGTTGAAGTAGCAGATAAAACCTATTACAGTGTATTTTGATTAACAAAATGTTCTTTTTTGAATACTATTTTCCATGTGTGTATGACTTTGTAAGTGGGAATAGCAGCAGGTAGGGCAAGAGAACTGAAGAAGGTGGGGGAGAAAAGGTACTACAGATCCTAAGCCAGAGGTTAAAAAATTTACCAGACCTCACAGACGTTCAATTCTCTATTCCTTATTGAAAATTTTTCCTAGGACCCAAAATTGAGAAGACTACCATAAAGTTAAATTATGCAATTATCCTGCAGTGTATGAGGCCACTGAACTAACACACACATATTAAATCTCTTTTTTAATATAAAATTAATAAATTAAAGGTGAGCCAAATTTTGTACAGCTCATTTTAAGAATTACAATATGGAAAGTAAATACAGTGCTGTGTGGGAATACACAGCCTATCTGTCACTGATAGCTAATGAATTCCTCCCTATTAAAATTTAATTGAAAATCTGCAGTGATATTTAAGCTTCCACAGAAGTGTAAACTACTGTGACTACAATTCACAATGCATTTAAAACAATTATTCTTTATCATTAAAGTTAATAATATGCACATTAACCTCTTATGTAGTCTAAATCAATATTGTAGTTTAAAAGATATGACCTCTGGACAGCTTTGTCTAAATATTGATTTCATTGTCATTTGTATAAGGTATCAAACAAATTACATGTTGCACTAATATCATTAATGTTGCCCCCTTAGAGTCTCTGGTTTTATGGCTCTCGTAATACAGGACATGACATTACAAAATATTAAGGACATCACAAAATGTAATTGCCAAACGGACAAGATTTGACTATGGCAGAACAGAGTCATTGTAAACAGATGATAACTTACAAATCCTTTACTCTCAGTGAACAGAAAAAAATAACGGCTTTTTAACAAGATCTTTGGAATTTTTCTCTCTCAGAGGGTCTAATTTTACCTTCTTGTAATGCCCTAGATGCTGCAGGAAAAAAATCTAAAGTCAGATTAAAATGTAATTCTGCAATATAGGAATTTTCCCAAAATAAGCTTGTTTAGAAATTTCTGTTACGCGTTACTAGCAAGTCAGATGAGTTGGAAAATAGATGCCTACATGGAAAGGGCCCGAACCTTTCAAATGGTCATTATTAAACTAAATAAAAACTGATTTAGGGATGGACATGCATCACATTTTCTCTCATAATTGGCAATTATTTTTGTAAAAAAAAATCTCAAATGGAAATACTAGCTATATAATTTGTTCTCTTTTACGTTTTTGGGTTCTAAATTGCTATGAATTCACAACATCCATATTGTTAACATCATCCAGTTACATCTAACTCTATTTTGATGTTGTTTTTTATTTATTAAAATTTTACTTTACCTTTCATTTTCTATAAGACTTTTTAGAAAAGAGATGGGTCATGATTATGTCACTGCAGACTGTAGGAGTCATTTATACTAAAAATGTTCCCCCAAAATCTCTTGTAGGTAAAAGTGACCCATTTTGTGTAGTTGAACTGAACAATGATAGACTGCTAACACATACCGTCTACAAAAATCTGAATCCTGAGTGGAACAAAGTCTTCACATTGTAAGTATTCATTACCTTGAGCTCATTGCAAAAATGGTGCTATGTGACATTTATTTTTGAGATTTTGTGTGTGTTTATTCTTAACTGATTAACACCTCAATGCATTTGGCCTGCCTTTGCTAGCAACAGTGAATATCATAATTGCATTATCTTCCTGATAATAAAACACGCAGAAAGAGTATGCCATTTTTCTTTGTTTTCACAAATATTTTTTAAAACTTATTTTTATATCATTTGACTAAGGATTTTACTTCCATTAATTGAATTGCCATACTGCTTCATCCTTTTATACTTTCTACTGAAAATCACCCCAGTTGCATTGACACCAAGGAGGACAAAGCTCTATTTGTTCCATTGCTCAAATCAGCAAACAATCTGGTCTTGAATTCGGCAGATGCTTTAGTTTTGGTTTGTTGCATTTTAGCACAATAAGAATATTAAGTATTGTCCTAGTTACCGAAACACCATTTCAGTTAATTTTCCTTTTGTTTTAAAAACTTTTGTAAATCTTTTCCATCATGCACTGTAAAAGTTGTCAATGCTACACTATAGTATCTCCTAGATTCGTCTTTTCATTTTTTTTTTTTTCTAAACTGGGCATTACAAATGAACTCTGAACAAAGGAAAACTCTCCAAACAGAAGTACTTCTTAAAAGTTTTCTAACATAGTTTTTTTTTATATGAAAAACTGCTAAATTCCTCATTAATTTCTTATAATGTCTCTGCTTAAGAGCCAGTAACTAATCAGATTTAATTATCTGACCGATTTATCTTTAAGGAATCCTACATTTTTATAAGAGATGAAAGCCTGGTCAGGAGACTTGCACTCCTAAGAAGGTTGTGGAGAGTGTTTTTCTCTGGAATGCATAATTGAATGAATAGGTTTGATTATTATCAAAGCCATTAATTGATTGCGCCCTGATAAAGCCTCTTCTCACATGTGGTTGCAGTCTTTCTGTAATGATTATATTCATTTTTTGTTTTCTCTTAATTCACGTTTTCTTGGTAAACAGTTTGATGAAAGAATAATGCTGTCAACAATTGGGGTTTATTTTTCTAGAAACAAAATATGAAGAGCTCACACAGTTGTTTATTAACATATGTTGTCTTTAGAACATAATGGAACACTACTTCATTTCTAAATCCATAGCTATCAGTGTTACATTTTCTCCATTCTGGTTAATTTTTATTGTAAAACTAATAGAAATAAGTATATATTTTGGTAAACAAAAATGAGATATCCTATTACTACAAAAAAGAAAAATTATATAAAGTATACTGAGACTTTTGCTGGTATCAAAGCTGAGGGTGATAAAAAGATAGGAATTATTGATATAATGAGAAGAAGGAAAAGTCTCAAAAAACATCAGTGCCTCTTATTGGTGGATTTTTTTTTTTTTTTGTAACTGATTCTGTGCCCGTCCAGGTAGAAAATTTTATTTCATTAAAAAATTATAACTTGAAATTACAGGGTTGTTCAAAGTTCCCGATAATAGAATCATCACTGTAGTCTGCTAAGGTGCATTATGGGAAATTCTGTCAGATACCAAGCTACCTTACGTATGTGTGTATTCAAGCAACATACATGAAAACACACACACACAGTCAGCTGGAGCTATCTAAATTTTCAAAAGCATTTTTGTTCTTGTTCCCCACTGATGAAGTCTTTTTTTCTCACGTATATTTGTTATGCAGCAACATTAAAGATATCCATTCAGTTCTTGAAGTGACAGTTTATGATGAAGATCGGGATCGAAGTGCTGACTTTCTGGGCAAAGTTGCTATACCACTGCTGTCTGTAAGTTTTATTCACCTGACACACTGCTCTGTGTTGCTTTTGCTCAAGTTACAAAAAAAAAAAATCCTCAGCTCTATATCTGTCATTTCTCAACCAAGGTCTGTAATAAGAACACTAAAAATTTTAACATACTCAATTCACGGCCATGTTGAATCCCATGATAGTTAATTTTTCCTGACAGACTTGATCCTGGTAATGAACAGGTACTTGTCAGAATTGCCACAGTTGTTTTGGGTTCTCTGTCAGTTTCAGCAGCTGGGGGTCAAAGGTCACTGAGGGAGTGTATTCAGTGGAGACCGCGAGACAGACGGCTGTCATGTCCTTTTCCCGCAGATTCAAAATGGTGAACAGAAAGCCTACGTCTTGAAAAACAAGCAGCTGACAGGGCCAACAAAGGGGGTCATCTATCTTGAAATAGATGTGATTTTTAATGCTGTAAGTCTTAACTTTGGCTTTTTTGTACTGCTAAAGAGTTCAGTTTCATGAAAGCTTTTGTTCCTGATTTGTAGAGAATTTCTGTCATTCCTCATTTTCTCTAAACCTTGATGTATCCTGGAGATTCTGCCTCTGCCTGGCACACGCACACTTTCTGTTATAGTTGGCGGCTGCTGCGGGGCTGTGCTCCAGCCACTGCCTGCCGGCGTAAGACATGGAAGCGCATGCATGTGCAACTGTATGCATTTATATTTTATGAGCACAGCAGCCAGGACTTTGAAACTTCAGAAATTATTGCAAATTGAACTGCGTGAAAACTTGTAAACAATTGTAATATATTAATCCATAACAGACACATATGTTGATGTATAGGTGAAAGCCAGCTTACGAACATTAATACCCAAAGAACAGAAGTACATTGAAGAGGAAAACAGACTCTCTAAACAGGTAAAAAGCAAGGCAAGATTAATCCCTCTGGTTAGACCTGATTATATCTGTAAAACATCTAGGTAAATTCAAATAAATTTTGGAGGCATGGAGGGGGGAAGACTATAGAATTTTTAATCATCTACTTATGTGAAATGGCTCTTTCTCTTTTTTCTTTCTTTTTCTCTCTTCTTTTCCTTAAAAGATCAAACAAGGACAATACCAAATTAATAAATTGGATAGGGGTGGTCAGAAAGGAAAGTGGATATTAGAGGTGCTCCATAGAAGGGGTATCTGTTCATGCATTAGCAAAAGAATGATCATTTTGAACATAAAATATTGTTTGATTGCCCTGGAATCTGTAAATGAGAACACCAAAAGCTGAGGTTCCAATATGTGTGTGGACCACCCACAGGTATGATGCAGGTGTCTGTAAAAGGGAGCTCAGCATAACGCTCTTCCCTCTAATCCACAAGAAAGGGGCTCCATCTTTTAAGAGAAACCTTCCTGTTTATTAGATTTGGGCTATGAACTTTTAGAAGTGAAATTTTCTAGGTATTTTTACTGAAGAAAACAAAATCAGCAAATCTGATTTTTCTATCATAAATGAAATTTAATTTAGGCTAGATAGCTTGTAATAAGACCTGTAGTTTTAAATTCGATCTGATATCAAGTGAAGAAAGAGTACTAAGCTACTCCTTTAGAAAATGTTTACTTACCATTAACACAGTTAAAATGTATTTACAGTTAAAACATAAACTATGAAGTTTACAGAACTCATTTGTATTTGTTAAAATATTTAATAATAATTTTCTGTGCTATTAAAAGACTGAAAATATTTTTGTTTTGAATCCAATCAATTCACCATTAGGAGTAGGACCTTTGTTTAAAGATAGTGCATGAGTTACAAATGCGGTATCTATCTAAATAGAAATACAGTTTACATTTTTCCACAATTATAGAGAAAAATAATTAAAGTCACTCCTAAAGGAAGGTGATCAGGGGCCAAAAGGAAAGCAAGTAGGAAGACTGCTAACTTTGCCTAAAGGAATTTCAGTTTTAACAACTTGCTAAACTGGTATGCATGTACATGCATCTATATTTACACACACACATACATTTTTTTTTCCATATGACCACAGTAAGCTTTACATTGTTACTTCATTAAAATAGCAGATCAGCATTGTATTATATTTGGAAATAGCAAAGTATTAACCTGCAGACATATTATTCTAATTATTAACACAACCGTGGGTAAATTTTTTGAACCATCATTTAGCATATTGACTATTCTTTTTATAGTTGTCATTGTGCCTTAGTTTAAAATTTTAAATTTAAATTATATCAACTTTCATATACCATTTTTAATAAAAGATTTTGCAAAGCACTTGGTTACCATAAAATTTCCCCTAACTCCAAAATAATGAAAAAGCACAGAGAAAATATAGATTAAATTTATTGTGGGAAAGAGGGAAATGGGGAGGGAGGGAGAAAGAACTAGCATGTGAGAAAGACAGGGAGAATGTGATAGTAAGAAAGGGAAAATCCTTCTAAAATAGTGAAAAACAATTGTTTTCTCTAATAAAGCAGTATTGACAGGTTTTTCTCTAAGATCCAAAATAAAAACATTCCAAATTATCCATTTCACTTTGAAATATCTTGAAATTAAAGCATTTAGAGAATCTTAAAACCACAATAAGACTTAAAAGTTAAATATATTCAAGGTTCGCATGTATGTAAGTAGCAAAAAATGTTTTTAATCTGTTGGATATATTTTTTTCTTTGCAACAGAGGTGGCCCAACCTACATGGTAGTATCATTTAAAATATATATATTTAGCTAAGAAATTGCTCTTATAATTCAGTTCTTTTCACTTTCTCCAGAGATACTTCTTTAACTTGTGAGCCAAATGACTTAGTGTTTTCTTACTTTATTAACTTTCCAAATCCTTATTAAATCACACTAAGCTTGAAGAATTCTGTAGCATATTTGATGGTTTTTAGTTTTGCAAACTCTAATAGTATTTTCATCTTCCTTACAGCTGCTCCTAAGAAACTTTGTCAGAATGAAGCGCTGTGTCATGGTGCTCGTAAACGCTGCATACTACGTTAATAGTTGCTTTGATTGGGACTCACCCCCTAGGAGCCTCGCTGCTTTTGTGGTATGATGATACTTTATTACTTACATTGTTAGTCATTCAATTCAGTAATCATAGCTGCGTGTTTCTGTGGCTATAGTAACAGTTTGTTGATGTGGCCATTTTAAAACTCCTATTTTAAGACTCAACTGGACAGATTTGCCGTGGGCAGAAACCTGATGGATTGTTCGAGGTCTGAGTCCAAGAATACATATTTTCCCCCTCAGATTTCCGGAACGCAAGACATCTCAGCCAATGTATAATATTCTCTGCGACAGTTAAAAAGTAAAATTTTGCATATTGCATAATTCCAAATCCCAAGAGCAGAGCCAAGAAAAGTCCTTAGTGTTAAAAAAAATTAATAATGTTGACCATCCTCATTTTAATTTTATTCATTCTATAGATATTTTTCAAAATGTGAAAATCATCACAGTAGAATGTTAGTTGATAATACTTTAATATGTGAATCAATTGGAAGTGGATATGACCTATTTAAGAGATGTTCTATTATTTCTGAGATTTCTAGTTTTTAAAAAGGCACAAGTGAAAATTTGGTAGATTCAAATAATCCTCTAACAATCTTCATTTTGTAGCCTTTTACTTTGGTTCTTTAAAAACCGCTGATGAGACCAATTGCAGAGCTAGAAAATCCCCCAAAATTCTTTCCTCTGAGCTTTAGCTGGGATTTTCTACTCTCACATTATTTTTGCTTATTCAGGCTTTCGGTGTGAAGTTTGAGTGGAGTCCTTCTTTTGAAATTCTTTATTGTCATATTTGTTAAAATATGAGTACCTTATACTTCCTTATAGTTTAAGGAAGTATGACTTTAGCAGAGTATGACTTTATTCTGGGGGTTTACAAAAAGAGCCTTAATTATAGTAACAAATCAACATGTTAGTATTACTATTCAAATGTGTGTATGCACATCTGTTTAGTACTTGGAGCTCTGTCCTCCTCTCAGGCCATTTATGGGACTTTCATTAATGTCTGAGCACATGGAACAAAGAGTGTGTATGTCCCTTTGTGTTGTAAGTTACCAGAAAGTTAGGCAGCCTGCTTCCCATAGACATGTTGTTGTCTCCTTAAAGAAAGCAATTGTTATCATCAAGTTTTAGAAAAGAAAATCTGCCTCTTTCAATATTCTTTTATTCAGTTCTTTCACATAATAAATACATCAGGGTTAAGCAAACTTTATCAAGATTTTTCACTATCATAGAGGGATTTTGATGTTAATGTGGAAAAAAATGATATTGAGTTTCTATGTATATTTTATGCCATTACTTCCTGGGGTCCATTGGGTCTAGAGAGGCACAATAATATTCTGCAAAAAATGTCATGCTGCCATCTTTGATTCACTCCTTTCAAAGCCGCCTCCGACAGCTGTTTGTGAAATTTTGAAAACAGAGAAATCTGTATAATTATATCATTTGTCCAGCAACATTCATTTTGAACACTTTAACATAGCGTGTTATGTAAGTTCATAAACTTCATCTGGTTATTCATGTAAAATGAATTCAAGAAGGCAGACTTTTTTCACAATTTCCTTCTGATTTACAAAACAAATCAGGCACTGAAATTCTGAGAAACTTAGGTATATGGACATGATAATACTTGAGATTTCACTGTAAGGGAATCAAAATTCACTATGGAAAAAATATAGTAATATTTCTCATAGCTGGTAGTCAGTTCCTAACAGACTTGGTCCTACTAAACACAAGCTGAATGCAAGATGCTTGCAAAAGAGGGGAGGAGGCCAAAATAAAGGCAGGGAAAGGGACAGTTAGCCCTGATGGTGACAGAAAGGCCACAGACTGCAGTGTGAATATACACAAGGGGTACGTTTGAGAAGAAACAATACTATGAACTATTTTGCTGAATAAAAGCAGCACTGGATTATATTCTGTTGATGTGATTAAAATGACAAATAATACCACCAAAAGTCATTTATCCAGACCTGAATTGGGGGTTCCATGAGCACAGGAGCCCAGCCCTTTTCACCTAGTACTCTAGCATCACCTGCAGAGCACCTGGCACCTTGTAGGCTCCCCCTATAAATGGCTGTCTGCATTGATAGACCAACCAATGAACCAGTCAATCAGTCTGAAAATTTTTCCTACATGGAAAAACTCTCTTTTCAGTGATGTCAGATAAATAAGGGATGGTTATAATGAAGCTAGTTATTAAATGATTAGACATAGCCTAATGCTTTGTAACAATTTTCCTTAGACCTTGCATTTAAATTCCAAACTTTTTCTTAATCCTCTATCACTCATTTATTTTAACCTCAGATGAAATTCTAATATGAAAAGATCTTATATAGTATATATAAGTAACAACTTATACAATAGTAGCAACTAATAAGTATTAAGCTTTTACGTGCCAGGGAACTGTTTTTCAGGTACTGATACACTAAAGCACTAGTACTTTTCCTGAATCAATTAATTTAATACTCTCAACAAACTTATGATGAGGTAGACACTATTATTTTCCCAAAATAAAAGGAAGAACTTGAGGCCCAGCAAAGTTTAGAACCTTACCCAAAGCCACACAGCAGGTAGTATTTTCTTTCTAAAGGAGATTTTTAAATATATATTTTGTTATCTAAACATAACAATTCAGAAAACAACTATTGTAGCATTTTTATTCCTCTTGTAGATATTAAATGATGTATTTAAAAACAGAATGTTTCAAAGATTCCATTGCATAACCAGAGCCATTTTAGGCCAGTTTATTGAAAAGAACTGCTTCCCATTAGGAGAAGCATATAGGCAGCACCCCATTGTTACAAACATATTGTTCCCATCATTCCCTGTTGATGGATCACGGGTCTATTATTATAATATTGGTTCCACTTGGCCCACTTTTTCATAAATGCAGCTGCCTTTTGGAGCCCATGCATTTATACTATTATGCAACTTGGTGTGAGGCCCAGATCAGTAAACTTTATAATGTTTAAGTGCCTTTTTTCTATTTCATTTTATTTTTCTTCTCCAATTTGCTATCCAAAAATAAATATAGAATAATGAAATCAAATGGAAAAACATCATTTTCTTGTCCTGATATCAATTAAAGTGTTGAGCACAAGAAATGCAGGGTGAGAGCTGCTCCGGCCTCTTAGCAGTGGCTGTGTGCTCTGGGGAAGATTCGGAGCTGGCTGAGGATATTAGAAGCTGAAATCGGTGTGGACGGTGATGGATAAAATATAAGCAAACACGTTCCTGGGAATGCCCTTGTTTTTATGTGCTATGAATTTTTTAATTAGGTTTTTAAATTTTACTATGAGTATTGTATGCCTAAGAGCAAACCCAGACGAATGTGGTGCAGAAGGCACTGCTTGTCTTTTGGAATCATCTATTGTAGATGTGGAAATGTCTCATAAATTGGGCCTAATTTTCATCAGGCTCTTGACCAGACATTTGTGTTCTTGTGGATGTCAGTGGGTGCAAAATGGAAAAAAAAGAGTGCGCATTCTCTTTTTCTCTTCGTTACTGTCATTTCTCACTGTAATGAGCACAAAAATAATTGGACAACTGAGCTATCAGTGAAAGGACATACTTCAGTGTGCGTCAAAGAATTATTTTACAGGACAAACTTTAATCTTTAAATGTGATTGTAGATAATTTGTGATACCATCTGTCCGTTTGGAATTGTTTTAGCCTTTTCTGTCGTTATACAGTAAGTGCCGCTGTGTTTAACATTAACATTTGATATTTTACACATTTAATTTCTGTTCTGCTGTATGGTCCTTAGGGAATGGAGCGCTAGTGCTACATGAGAGAGACAAAGTATTGATCAGTTAACATTTCAGCTACATTTATGTATGTCGCAAAATTAATGAAAATGCCAGACAAAAATGTCAGAGTGCACAAAAAGGTAGAATTTAAATTTGGTAGTTTAATGAAAAGTTTAAGATGTGCATTATCAAGAATGTCCTCTTGCCTTTAAAGTATAATTCCTAACAGAATAACTACAGGGAGACACATATTTTACTTAGAGGAGCAATGAACATGAATTATGAAGGCATGTCTACTCCTCAAAGTACCTTGTGTTCCAAACTGCTGTTTGAATGCTTAACTGTTACTCATAAAATACATTTGTTTCTGCTCAATCTGGAGGGCTACTAGCTTCAACTCTCTGTATTGACCAGCCCATGAGGCAGGCTTCCTGCTGAGATTCTCCCCCTAGGTTTTCCTTGGTATCCCTGTGTTCCTTTTGTGTCAAAACTGAGAATTCCCTCCCTCTACAGCAATTCATCGAAGCCACTCTGGTTCATTTCTCGTTCCTTTCTGGGTCCTTTTCAAATGCCTGGTTTTCCTTTGCTTCCAGATAATTTGTGCTCTACTTTCATTCAATCCCTGTTTTAGTACAGGATCACACTCAGGACAACAGCTACTCTCAGAAAAGCTAGGCCAGTATGCTGGGAAAGAGAAAAACAGAGATGACGTATACAAAGAATAACACGAGGCAACTCTGTGTAGCCAAATTGTTTTTTAAAAATGGTGGAAGTACAAGCAAAGGAGGAGGAACCGAACTTGCAGGTGGTAGGAGTGCGATCCCGTGATCTGCAGGCAGTAGGCTCTGGAAGACACCTTACCGAGCACTCTCTGAGTAAAAAGCCTGCTGCTATTAAACAACATACGGATTTTTCTAAAAGTTGTTACAAACAGTAAGGACATTCTAAGTGTTCAGATTACTGAACAGTATAGGGTGATTGTCCTGGGCATATAGAAGGTCACTTTAAGATTCCAACAGAAATTTCTGTTTTAAAAACTTTAAAGATATCAATAATAACACACCAACAGAATTATGCTTCAAGTAGATAATTTTCCACTGATTTTTGTACAAGCTTTTTTTGTTGTTGTTACAATTTTGCTTATTAGTGCTAGCAGAAAAATTGGAAATGTTCCAGATGTAATTTTTGTTACTTTCCTCACAACAGCAAAATGGAAAGACCTCCAAAAATCAAAGAAGCAGGTACTAAAGCAAAATGATAGAAAACTGATGGTTCGATCCTTGTATTCTTG